AGGCGGCTGGAACAAGCGCTGCTTGGAGAACGGCCAGTCGTCTCGGCTGGCTTGATGAGGCGGGGCGCGAGGCAAACCGACGCAGATGCGGGCGGTCATTCAAGCAAGTTGGGCCCCAAGCGCGCGGCGCCTGGTCGGCGAAGCGCGGGGCGGGTGACGGATTCGCGAGCTTGCGGCCGCAGTTGGGCCCAAGTGATTGCGGCAATCGGCGCGGTCAGGCGCGGCACTGGCCATTTGAGGCGGGTTGCGGTTGAATGTCTGGCACGGGCTGGGGGCGGGTGGGTGCGCGCGCAATGGCGGGGTTTGGGGTGGATGCGTGGGCGGGGCGTGGTGCCGATGGCAGTAGTTGTGGCAGGTTGGCCTTCAAGGGTTCGCAGTTGTCGCCGCGGCGCCGATGGAATACGACGCGCGGGGGCAAGTTGCGTCGGCGAGGCGAAAGGTGTGGCGAACGCTGTGCTGACGGGCTTGCAGAAGCCGAGGTAAGCGAGAGGTTTACGGTTTACGGGGCCGCGGCAGGCGAAATGCACATTGATGTCGGGATTCAAAGCAGCGTCGGGTTCATGGGCGCGCAGAAATGTCGGTTGAATGTTTGCGGCGGTCGGCGTCGACGCGGTTGGGAACTCGGGCGCCGCGGCGGACCGCGCCCGAAGATCGCGGACGGTTGGGCAAGTGGGGGGGGGGGTCTGCGGTGGATGAAGTAGTCGGGTTTGTAGGTGTTGGTCGGAATTGGCGCACGTCGGATGTCAAAGTACCAGGATGCCGAGGCGCGCTGGGCGCGGCCGCGGGCGGAAGAGGCGTAGGGGGCGGGGGGGGGGGGGTCGAGGCGAGCTGGGGCGCGCATGACGCAGCCGAGGTGGAACTGTCGCGGAGCGATGGCAATATATCGGGCAGTCTGGGGTGCGCACGGCCACGCCATGCGTGGTGGAAAGGTCGGGCGGGCCTGCGTTTGTTATCTGGGGTCGGTGCATTGCGGCGCGCGCGTGGGTTCGCGGAAGGTTGGGTCGGCCGGCTTGGCGGGTGTCAAGGGTTGTGGCTTTTTTGGCTGAAATGCGCCAGGGACAGGTTGGGTTTGAGATCCCGAGTAAAGTGCCACCGTCGGCGTTGGAGAAATTAGCTGAGGGGTGCGAGGGCCTCGGGGCGGCATGGACACATCATGGACCCCATGGCGGCGGTTCACGCAGCCCGCCGCCCGAAGAGGTCGCAGGACCTTGGGCGCGGGGTGCAGCGACAGCTCGCGGCGGATGGTTCGGCACATGTCGGCGAGCTTGGAATTTGCGCAGGCCGACCTAGCGGGCTAGCCGCAGCTGGGCGATGTTGAATTTTGTTTGCGTTGCTGCGATGGTTCCTTGGGTGTGGCGTCGGCGGGGTTGGCCGCTGTTCGCGGGCGTTGAGATACGTTGGCGGCCAAGCTTTCTCTGCGCGTAGATGGGCGGTGGTGGGGAGACCTGCTGGAGCGCAAGCGGGTTTGCGCCAGGGGGCGGTCGTCGATGTTGATTGGCGCGGCGGGCCAGAAGAACTGACGCGCGTAGGGTTCAGAAGGCTGGTAAGGCGTGGCGTGGTCGGCGTAGCTGGCGGTGGTCGGTGGTTTTGGCATTCCAAACGGGGCAGAGGTTGCCGCTGCCTGGGCTTCGCACGCTCGCGGCGGGGTCAAAGAGGTCGAGTTTGTGCCAGCATGGTTGTGACATGGGTTGGTGGTGCAGCGTTAGAATGCATGGAGGGGGGTCGCGCTTGCGCGGCCTGTGGCGCATAACCAGGGCTGGCCTCGGGGCAGCTGGCGGGATTTAACGCATCCTGGTTCGCGCAAGCAACCAGCAGTTGTGGTGGTGGCATGGGTTGGAGGAGGCTCGCATACATTCAAGTAGGTCGCGCTGGTCAGTCGGACGCTTGCGCTGCCTTGTATCGAAGAGCAAGCAGAAACTGTGTCAGGCTGCGGACGGGCGGCCTGCGGGCGATGCAATAGGTTTGGCATGGAACCGCGGGCGGCGAGTGAACATGTCTGCCTTCCGCGCGCATGCAAAACGCGCGGCGGTCTGGTGGGCGGCCCGCGGTAACGTGTTGCTTTGGTCGGGGAGGCGGCGGCCGATGTGGCCTGGCGTTGTAGCGTTGGCAAGAGTTGATGCAGATTGCGTTCGGCGCGCTCGCAGTGGGCGGTGTATATTGGGAGCGGGGGTGGTGCCAGGTGGCGGCGTACCTTAGGCGCCGCGGTGTTGCGCAAGTTGGGGTTAACACGGTCTCAAGGCTTGCGGTGACTTGGCCAGTTGGCGCAGGCAGCGGGGGTTGAGGTGTCCGAGTATTCGAGAGCCCGCGCGGATTGCCATCGGTTGTAAATAGAAAGCTGACTCGCGGAATATGACGCACATGGTGGTGGCGCGCGCCGCGGCGTCGTTCGGGCCAGCTGGGGCTGCTTCGGCATGGCGCTTCTGGCAACGCGCATCGGTTCGTAATTGCAGCGCAGAACAAACGCACTGGACGGGCCAGCGCCTGCGACCCGCCCGCGGCACGCCCGCCTCGCGGCGCGTTGGCGGCACATCGGCACGGCCGCCCGCCCACCGTAGAAGGCGCAGCGCGGCCGCGGCACGGCCCCGACTTTGCCCGAGGGTACTTGGTAAACGCACCAACGCGGTCCCGCGAACGCGTTCTCGCGATGTCGGTCTCTGGGTGTCATTGCGCAGTTGCTTTCGGACCCTCTTGGGGTTGTTTCGGCGCCCTCTTAGGCCCAAAGGGTTTGCGATGGTCGGTCGGGGGGCGGGCCACACGGCGGCCTCGATAGGGCCCACGACATCAAAAGGCAGGGCATCACAATCCGCCACGGGGAAGAGCGCCAACGCGACCGACCTCGGGGTACCACCCGATCTAACCGTGGGGTAATCGAGACGCCACGTTAGGCCCATATGCCCCCTCGCCCGCGCCCGCCAGGGCCCGAGGCACCGTGCCCCAGGAACGCCCCAACGTTGCCCAGACGAACGCCCACCACCCCGATCACGCAAGAATGATCGCGCAACCGCTCTTGGGGCCGCATTGGCCGACGTGCATCGGAGTCGTCTCTGCGCCCCCATGGGGCGCTGCAACGACGAACGACGCGGCCCCTCAGGCGCTGCCGAGGAGGGCACCGCCAACAGTTCCGAGACGCCCTTGGTGGCGGAAGGGCGCCACCAAGCTTCTCGGGCAGTCACGCGAACGCTGCCTGGTGTGACATCTCTTGTTGCCTTCCTGCGCCCGCGCCCCGCGCGCGGCGCGTTCGTGGCCCATCGGTGCCGCGCCCCACCCGCGCTGCGACCTACCCGCGCAGCGGGCCGCCTGCGCCGCGACGCGCCCGCGCTGCGACGCACCCGCAAGGACGACGACGACGACAACGAGCAAACCACCCATCGCGGATCCCCACTTCAGCGGCGCACCCTGGGAGATTGCGAAACCGTTCGGCCGAGCCGCGCTGATATTGCGCTGAGGTCTCTGCGCAGTTGGTTTCGGAGGCTGGTTTGGCATGGCGTTTCAGTCACTGCGCGCTTGGTGCTGCTGGGTTGGCATCGGGCTTGGCGTCGGCAAGATGCGCCGACTGAGTCCCATCAGCCCTCTGGGCGTCGGTGGTTGAGGGAGTTTCCTATTCCGCCCCTCCGTCTTCCCCTTCGGGGAAGGGGTTTGCCCACCCCCCCCCCCCCCTACACGACCTGGGCAGGGGATGGCGCGAGTCGTCGGGGCACCCGAAACGGCCTCGGCGAGGAAGCCAACATCATAAGTTTTATTCTGGCTTTGGCCCCATGTTGGCCTCCTGGGGGGGGGGGGCTAATTAAAGCCCCCCTCATGTTTGGCCGATATCCTCCAAGATGGCCCCAAGAAGCGCCCATGAGGCCCCGAGAGGTCCCACGATGGCCCCGATATGGCCTCAGGAGGCCCCCAAGAGGCACCCAGGAGGCCCCCAAGAGACCCCCCATAGGCCCCGAAAGACCCCCCCATCGACACCCAAGATGCTCCAAGAGGCCTCGGCGAGAATGCCAATAATCAATGATTCAAGTGGGGTTTTAGCCGCTAACATGTTGGCCTCGCGTGGGGGGGGCACGGACTAAGATGACCCCAACAGCGCCTGGGAGAGCCCAAAGCGACCTCCAAACCCAAGACATCTCAAGATATCTCACATTGGCTTCCTCTGCGTGCTGCCCCACTTCCCTGGTCGAGGCAATTCCTCTGGGCATCGTTTCTGGATGGGCTGGCGGGGACTCGCGAAGCGTCAACATTTTTTATGGTTTATGACGGCACGATGTCGGCGCCGAGTTCGGCTGGCTCGGGGCCAACAGGTGGGGCGGCGACGCCAAGGCACGGGCGCTGAGGGACAGAAAGAAAATTATGAGGGGAGTGCGCATGATCCTGGACGCGCCCCATAAGGGGGCAAAGCGGCGTGTTGAGCCAAGCGGCAGTGCGCGCCCTTATTGTCCCGCTCATCCCTCATCGTCATCCCTCTCTCTCCCTCTGTCTGTTTGGTTCCTGCCGTTCGCTGTTATGTTGCTGATGTCCTGCCCCTTCTCGGTTCTGCTTCTGTCTGCCCGCGGATCGTAACTCGCGGGATGTTGTCAGAAATGGCACGCCCCAATTCGGCGCACCCTTCGCACGGATCGCGGCCCGCGGGGCCCGTCGGACTGACCGAGCAGCTAGCATAATGAATTGTGTATGCGGCGAGGGCGGGGGGGAGGGGTCGGCGGAACCCTGGCACTGCGAATGCAAACGCCGCCGTCGAAAGACCCCATGGATCAGAAGTTCGGGCCAGGTCGGCCCCGCCCCACCCGCGCCCAGGAATCCGAGAGGAAGAGGAGGTGGGGGCAGATCCCAAAACATCCCACAACAGCCCAAGACCAAGGCCAAACAACGCATCGCATCTGGAGGGGCTGGCGGGGATTGTGCGCCACGCGCGAAACGCACAGAATCTACAGTGAGAACGCCGTGCTCGAGTCGGAATGGTCGAGGCGCGAGCCATCGTATAGAGCATAACAAGACATCAATTGGAAATCATGTTACACGAACTCGGTAGGCTCTGCTCCAGGATCCTGGCCTGGAGGAACGAACTCCTCTGCAATCAACGCAAGGCCGCCAGGCAACAGAGCGAGCCGCTCTCTGGCCGCGCGGCGCTCCTCGAACGTGGGCCTCCAGCCGCCGTGCACATGGTCATGCCGCGTCGCGGCCCTGGCAGCCGCAAGGCCGCCCTGCCGCTCCAGCCACGACATCATCCACCCGAGCGGGCGGCCTTGACCCTTCTTGTGCCCTGGCGTGGACACGCGAGTGGTGTGGCACGGCAAGTGGCAGACGTGATCAGGGTCCGCGCAGTTGGCCACGAAGTACTTCCGATCAAATGTGTCGTAATAGCTGATCCGCCCGAGGCCAGGCACAAGAACAACGATGTGAGCTGGCAGGCCCCCGCCGCCTCCACCGCCAGCAGGCGGCGGAACTGGCGGAGGCGGCGGCGGTGGCGGAGGTGGCGCAGGAGGAGCTACTGGAACCACTGGCGGCATAGCTGCATCGTCGCCGTCGGAGATGTCATCTGACAATACGCTGCCGCCAGTCTCAGTGCCTGCGCTATCTCCTGGTTCGCTCTCAGCCGCCAGCTCGTCGCCCTCAGGGTCGGGCTCGTCCGACTCTGCAGCTGCATCGACAGCAACTTCCCCTCCGAGGTCGTCGGGATCGTCATCGTCATCTGCGGCAGCCAGGGCCGCCCAAGAAGCAAATCCATCCGCGGACCTCTTCGCTCCCTTTGGGACCCATATCGGGTGCAGACAAGCAGACTTCTGTTTCACGAAACACTTGTTCGGCACGAAATCGCCCACGATGTCGGCACCAAAATAAACCTCAAGCCAGGCGCAGTCCCAGCGAAGCGTTGTCCGCATGGTGGCGGTCAGCTCGTACTGCGTGAATTACTGGTGCTTGGTGTCGACGAGCCTCACTAGCCCATCGGGTCGGTGACACGTCCACTGGTTGGCTGCTTCGTCCCATGATCGCTGTCGAAAGCGGTCGCGGACATCCTCATCGGGGTCCAGCTCCAAGAACGTAATCTCCCATGGCTTCTCCAAGGTGAACGCCACGAGGAGAAAGATCACTTCGTCTGCGAGCGCGCCGAGGTCGAACGCGACCTTCCCTGCAGCGTCTGTCGGCAAGCAGCTCTGCCCCAACAACACAATGACAACGTGGCTCGCGACGAACTGTCTCCGTAGGTCGCCCCTGGGATACAGCCGTCTGGCGTGGGCGTTGATAGCGTTCAGCATGGAGATGCTCGCGCGCCCAGCCTTCGAACACACGCAGCGATTCGCAGCGTGGCAGATGTAGTCTGAGAGCGGGGGGGGCGCAGACCCTGGACCAGCGAGCTTGGACGTCGGCTGCTGCACGGTCTCGCAGTGGTCGCGGAAGACGCCGACCAAGGCCTTATGGAGCTCGCTGATCCCACTCTGCCTGTATTTTCTGACATCGATGGTCGCGATGGCCTCGGCGAGCCTCTTCAGCTCTGACCACCGCTGCGACAAGAAAACCAGGTCGCCTCCGCCAACTCCATTCCACGGGGGGTCCCCCTCGTCGTTGTGCGGCACGTCGCGAACTGCAGCAAAAGTGGACGAGGCCGCCGCCACAATGCCGTCCAGCGACAAGTCATCCTGAGCACATCGGCGGTCTTCCTCCGCTGATTTCTCGCGCTGGAGCTTGTGACGGTGCCGTGCGAGGACCCTGAATTCCTCCGCCCGCTGCAAGACATCCGCGCGCTCCAAACGAACAAGCTGGGCACCTGCTAGGGGCGGCAAGCCGCGCGGCACGATGGCCAGCGCCTGGCTCCGGATGGCCCGACCACCGTACGGGGTTGGGTTCCCAGCAGCCTTGGCGGCGTCGGCATCGTCGCAGCGCTGCATGAGCTGCTCGACCTCAGCATCGGTCAAGTCCCAGTACCTGTCGCCAATGCCAGGCGCGTATCTGCCGTCGCCACCCGTCGCGCCAGATCGCTCCTGGCAGCGCAACCCAAACAGAGCCCGAACCAAACGCAATCGCCGAAACCAGTTCGCCACCGTCGGTCGATAAGTTTCGGCGTTCGACGGAGGGAAAAAGCTCCTGCGATTGAGTTCACATTGGGCCCCGATTCGTTGCGCTGCAATCCTGCGCAAGAAAAGCATTGTATACAGATGTCCGCCGCCGCTTCGGCTGATACGCCCTGTCCACATCGGCTGGGGCGGGCTGCTGCCGTTGGTCACGGCGGGGCCGCCGCGCGCCCCAAAGGCCCCTCGCCTCTTTTTCGAACCAGTCCATCAACCAAAAAATATTCACCCCTCTTGTGTCCACAGCCCGTTGTTGCACACCTCTGCCCTGGACGAAGCGACGGATTCGCTGGTGCCTGTACTCAATGAGGATTGTTTCCAACCGAGCTTTCATGGCAAGGACGAGGACATCCATCCTGGCAGCTGTGGACCTGAGGTTGCCTTCGTAATAATCATAAAAAGAGCGGGAACCAGCATCGAGCCGCTTCGGACAGACGGCATCGGCCTCAACATCGTCAATGAGGTGGTCATGGACGCATGTAGCAATGAGCTTACAAGGGTAATTACTGTTGAACACCTTCTGGTTATGGTTGAGGGCACCCGCCCGAGCCAGAAGGAGACACGTCTTTGTCTGGTGAGCCACTGTCCTGCACGTGGGTGGCAAAGGTTCCCATGTGGAGGGGTCGTCCATTAGCTGGTTGTTAGACACTGCAAACTCAGACTCCAGTGTGCCAGCCCAAGCGAGAGGCAAACGAAAATCACGAAGTTGGGCCGTTCCTGGGACACCAGCAGCAGAAGGTCCGCCACTTGCCTCCAGATGGGCCCGCCTACCCTCGTGCACTTTTCTGCATTGCTCTTTCTCCCAGCCGTCGCCGCCGATGTGCAGCTTCCGCCTCATGATCTGCACGTGCGGTTCCATGGCCACTGACATTGCAAACGCGTCACCGAAAACAGCACCGCTCCTGTTCCACTCCAGAGTCGATCGCCTGAAGCGGTGCTGTTCGCGAGCTGCATCGTCAGCTGCCTGGCGGCCTTGGCGCCCCTCTGGGCCGACAGCGGCGGCCTCGAGGCCGTCGGGGCCGTCTGGGGCAAGGCCGTCAGGGACGGCCTCGTCGTCCAGCGCCAGCGGCGCCGCCGCGCCCCCGATGGCTGGGGCGCCAGCCGCGGCGGCAGCAGCATGACCGTCAGGATCGGCGCCCGCGGCGCCATCGTGCTCGAGGCTGCCCACCAAACGTGAAAACACATCGTAAGCAGATTCCCATATTCCGAGCATTGCAAGCAGAGCGACCCAACGCATCCCTTCTTCACACTTAACCCACTTGTTGCTCGGAAAAGAACCAGGACCAGTGCCGAATAAACCCGCCCAGCCCTGTTGGGCGCAACGCGGTGCAGGAGGCTCGCCCCCCCCCCACCCATCGAGACTCCGTCTCCGCACGTTCTGCCCTGGGGCCCTGGGGCCCGCGAGAGCACCGAGAGAACCGAAAACGAAACAACCCAAGATGGGCCCCTTAGCGGGTTCCATGAGCATGGGGCCGCACGTGCGGCCCTAGCGTGGCCCACCTGGAGTCCTTTGGAGCTTTCTCAGGGCCCTATCATCGGAGGCCCAACGAAGCAGTGCCGACCCCGTCGCAGGCCTTCCACGGCCCCGAGAGGGCCCCGCCCCAGACCTCCAACATTGAGGTGCCCCTGCAACCTTTTGCGTGACTTCTGCAAGCCCCGTTGTTGCGTTTGCGGGGCAGCCCCGATGATATCTTGGAGATGCCCCTTCGCCGCGCGAGGGCGGCCCGCAGCCTTCGGAGAGCCCCATGGAACCCCAAGGAGGGCCAGCAACAGCAGCAGGATGAAGGGGGGGGGAGGGGGAGGGGGAGCAGGGGGAGGAGGAGGAGGAGGGGAAGGAGGAAGGGGAGGGGGAGGAGGGGCAGGAGGAGGAGGGCGAGGAGGAGAAGGCGGAGGAGAATGAGGAGGATGGGGGAGGGACATGAGGAGGATAGTCTCTGAAATGGGCGGTGGCGAAACGCGAAGCGTCGATGATACTTGGCGATCTTAATTTTCCGAGCATGCAGACTGGCATCGCCCTCGCCGTTTGTTGCAACGAACGTGGTCGGGCTGTTCGAAGACCATGCAAACGACCCCAGAATACGTGCTCTCCTCTCTGCATTATCGGTGACATTCGGGACGAGGAAATCCAAACTCCTACACATGGCCTCCCTTTCAGCGTAGCTGTGAACACCGTCCCTTTCCACGGGCATTCTGATCAATACGTTTTTGAGGGCGGTGCGGAACAATTTCAAATGATTCCCGAATGTAATTGATAACAAGGCCCTTCTCAAACGAGAGATATCAAGGCTATGCTGGCCGAAGCTCGCTTGGCGATTATTGCACTGCCGATGGACGTCGCACGTCGTGTGCGAAAAGCTCAAATGATGTGCAACAGTCGGCTGGTGCCGCAGAAATCTGGCGGCCTTCCCGATAGCTTTGTCCCCATCAGTGCAAAACCAAGCGTGCAGCCTACGAAACTTCGGAGTTAGATCACGCAAGCCCAGGATCATTGACACTCTCCTGTCGCATTCCACGTACACCTCTGCAGTGGTTCGCCCCATACTCAATATTGGAATCGGGGGCTTCCAGCCGAAACAAAAAAAGTTGCCCTGCAATCCAACTGACGCTCGGGGCGTAAGTTAAGGCGTTTAGTGCGCGTGCGTCTAATGTCTCGCATTTGTGTTAGCTTCTTTTTGCACGGGCTGTGGTTTTTTAGTGTGGGAATGACGTAGGGGGTTAATGGGGGGGATATTGGTGTGTCCTCTGGCCACGGGGGGCCTCCCTAGCCGACGCAACTAGTTTGGGCATCGCCTCTGGATGGACTGGCGGCGGCGCGCGAAGCGCCACGCATTCAATGAGCATGCACGCTTCCACTTCGAGCTGAAGCAGCTTGGCGACGCCAGCGTCGCGAGCTTCATGCTTCTCAGAAAAAAAAACCAGCCACCTCGTCGACCACCTCTTGCGGCAATCCGAAAAACACATTCTTGTCTACGACAGTGAGCCTCAACGGCGTCTCGTCAAAACGCGTGAACACATACAGGGCGTGCAGAACACCGTGGGCGCGAAAGGCCTCGTCTGCAATGCGGTGGATCTGAGCTCGCATGCTGTAGACATAGGCGATCCACGCAGCGGCTGCAGTCAGCTCTGCTTTCGATGCCAGGGTGGCCTCTGGAACGCCAATCCGTTCAGCATGTGACGAGAGTGTCTTGGCAGTCAGCCACGCCCCCTCCCGCCCGACAATGTCCGCCACTATTTTCACCGCATCGGGGTTCGTGGATACGACCATCTGGCACTTCTTGAATGCCTGGCAAATCGTGGCAAAGGCAAGCTCGGTTCGCCGATGCCGCTCTTCCGACGGCGATGGCCCCTCGGGGCCCACAGGAATCGCCACCGCCAGGACGTCGCCTGCGGGCCCTGCTGCTGGGGCCTGTGCGGGTCGCAAACCTTCAGACGAGATTGTGGTGCGGTTTCGTAACAAAAAACCCTCCACGCCATCCCCCCCCTCCCCCGCTCCTCGCGTCTCGCTCGTCCTCGCCATTCCTCGTTGCCCCGTCCGCCCCTCGCCAGCACCGTTCCGCGTCGTCCCTCTCTCCCCCTCATCATTCGGCAGATGTTTCCTCGCATCCCCCTCATGCATCATCCATGCCGCGCCCCCGTCACAACCCTCATCGTCGCTCTGCTGTTCATGAGTTTGCCCCCAGTGCCGTCCACTTCGCGCCTCCCCGTCATGGCGTTGCGCCTCTTCCCTTCGCCTGTCGTCCAGAGCCCCCCCCCGTCGCCCTCATCGCCGCCCCCCTCCTCCGAGACCTCCTCCCCCCCAAACCGTCATTCTCCCA